ATCTTTTATTTTTGCTGCTGCCCACAGTTTGCTTTGAGGACTGCGGAGTTTATGTATTTATCTTTGTTATTCCAATCAATTCTCACTGTTTTTCTGTCTCCACAGTCAAACCAGAGTCTTAAGAGCAGTTTTCGTACTTACAAATCTCTGAGGAAACAAGCTAAGACTGAAGACTGAAAAAGTAGAAAGCACAAGGAAAAAAGAAATATTTTTAGTTTATACTCATAACAAAATCAAAACAAGTCTCACAGTACACTATGAAATGGATACCTACTTCTTAAATATTTGACCATTTCAATTAACTTATTCTGATTAAGGAACAGATTAAATCTATTCTTCAGTATGTAATCTCTAGTAATAGGCTTTAAATCATTTGTAGTATTAGTAGCACACAAAACAGTTTTCTGCTACCAGCAATATGAGAATATGGAAAATATACTTTTAGAAATGGATTATATAAAACTAGTACAAAGAATGAGTATTTAAACTGGAAATCTCAGAAAACTGGTCTTATTAGATAAGGAATAAGAACATTATTTTATGCATTTCAATTCTACAATATCCCTGTTAAACCAGAACTTCTGCAGTGACATACAGCAAATACCAGCTTTTATTTCCATTAATATTTCTGAATTAGATGCATCGTCTAATGCATCAAGATACAATAAAAAGTTGAATAAATTAAAAGCTCAATTAAAATATTTATCTGTAATTAGTCCTCTACTCTGAGGAAGGACCAGTAAAAAATGTTAACACTATCTCAGTTGTAAAATTACACAGTAACTATATTTCCCAAGTTCTGAGCCAGGTCATGAACTTTTTTTTTTGTCTCTTTTTTTTAAAAAAAAAATTTAAAAGTCTTATAATTGGTATTCAGTGAGAAACCTGTTTCATGGATGTCTGACTAAACTTGAAAGTAAAAAGCCAGTCACATTTAACAGATGGGTATTTCTGTTAAAAACTGAATTACTTTTGATTCAAGAGGTTGTCAATTAGTTGTGGAAAAAAAAAAACCAAACCCTTTGCCTCTTTTGCTTCTCCCTCCTGCTTGATCCCAGAAAACCAGAAATATCAACACAATAGTGAGACCCTTCAGAACGATTTCTCTGGTGCTTTTCTATTTCAAGACTTTGAGAACCACAGAAGATTTTCTTCACACCTTTTGTAAACAGATAAAGTCTACCGATCTCACATTAATGTCTTCTGATGTTTAGCACACTGCAAAGCAAAACCCATCACAGTCCTGCATTTCAGAACTTACAAGAATCATGATTTTTCTTGTTGCATTCACTAGGTATCCAAACACTGTCATGTGTTAGGATGTTATATATCAGGAAACACCAATGTTTTTCTGGCAGCTCACTGGCATTCTCAATACATTTGAATAAGACCATCAATGGCCAGTAAGCACAGAAGTGCAAAATAAACTACCAATTATCTTTGAAAAAAGCTTAACACTACTGAAGGGCTGAAACAACAGCTACTAAGGAAACTCTTGCTCTAAACATTAAACCAGAAGTTTTTTTAAAAAAAAAAACTAGCTCTCATACCTTGCAATTTTTCAAAAAATAACTTCTGAGTCAAACTGCCTATGGCACAGAGATATCATTTCTTCAGTTATTACAAAGGCCAGAGATTTTTTTATCAAAGCCTGCCTCCTTGTGTTTGCAGAATAACATCTCAAAGAAATCAGTCAGACTCATGTATATTTTTAACATAAGAAAGTTATTTCATTGACCCCAATTGTTTTCCTTTTGCTAGGCAATCAATGTATCCCCTCAACGGGTATTCCCTCATGCCTATTGAATCAGCTGACCTTTACTGAACCTGAAATAGCTACATACTGGATGCCAATAATTAACAAAATAATATGAAATGTGAGAAAGTATCATATGGGAAGGTATGCATTTTAAAAGAAGGTGGTAGATTAAAAAAAAGTTTACAAATAGCAAACAAAGCTATTGATCATATGCTGCTTTGATTTCAATACCTAAAAATGGAGTTAAGCATGAAAGCTTTGTAAGGAATATACAGGACTACCAGAAATAAAACCATTTCTAGCAAGTACCACAACAAAAACTATCTGTGATGTCTTATGGTGCTTAAAAGCATCAATGTTGTTCTTCAACATTTTATTTTTCATGTGGAAAATTACGTGGCAGTCGAAAAATACAAATCATCCCTACTGTAGCTATCCATACTGTGTAAAACAGGACTAATGTTCATCAAATCACCGTTTCTTTAAATCAACATATGCCAATAATATAAAAAAAGCAGGAGTCCTATCTTCGCCCCAAGCCACTGTGTCTTGTTCCCTGTCTTTGCCTGTGTGAGAACACAGCTGTTTAATCACTGGTGAATTGGCCTGTCTAAAAAATAGCTTATTATTGGTTTTCATCATACAATTACATCAACATTTGCTTCTGAAGCACATTAGGGTTGGGAATGAGAGGTCAGAGAAGGACTACATATCTTCTTCAGTTGGCAGTGCTGGTTCATGCTACTTTAATGCTTCATGAACTGCACCCAAAAAATGTAAGAGGAAAAAAATTAAAATGGTGTATGCAAATGAAATGTGTAACTGCCGAATTCCCAGATTTGAGAGCACACCTCTAGCACCAGCAGATGCTGATGAGAGGCAAAAAATGTTACCATGAGCATTAAGTAGTTCTTCCTGACAATTTTAACATAGAAAATAATATTTTAGGCTGCAAACACATCTTACCAGAGTTCACTGGCTTCTGATATCCAAGTTAGTTTGTGTCTCAGCTCTTATTATCAGAAATATGCAAGTGGAACTAAAACGCACATAAATCAAAACCTAGAAATCATATGTCCATACTGAAAACTACTATGCTATGGGAATGTAACATTGGGACCAACCTTTTTTCTACAGATGAACCACTTCTGATAACATTTCAAAGCTATAAACACCTTTCTCTCTTCTTTGGACTGACAGTTACATCCAACACATGACCAAAATTCAGATGTTCCCCCTCAAACAGTGTCTGGGCAAGCAGCCTTGTGATGGAACACACAGCACTGTCCCACCACAGGACCTTTCATCGCAGGGTCCCTGCAGCTGGCTGCTGGGCCCCACCATCCTCCTGGCCCCAGGACACGCACAGTGGCAGGCACACACCTGTGGCCGAGGGACAGAGACCGCCTTGTGCTCCAGCATACATCAAGCTTTCATCATACTATTCCTTCCGTGCAAGGCATTATAGCAAAATGTAAAGAGCTCCTCTGAAACACATTTCAAAGGCTCCACAAAGAGATGATCACTTTTTTTCAGTGAAGCATCTAGTGAGAAACGTTGCTTTAACTCCACAAAAAAATCTGTGTTTCTTTCAAAACATTATCTGAAAAGTATCCTGAAAATTTTCAGTATCCCCAGACTTTAAAACCCCTACCTTTTCAGGAAATATTTTATTATTCATAGCATGCTAGAAATATATACAGCACAATTTTTTTTGATAGCAGCAATATTAATACTTTGGGATTCCACATAATTATTGCAAACCCACAATGTTAAAAACTAATGGTTCATAAACCTTATTTTTGCTTCACAGCCAGAACTAACAAAAAAAATTCTATGAAACGGAAATTCTACATTTTAGTCAATCCAGATAAACTCATCCACCATGGGAGGAAATAAGTGTCATCTGTGGAACACTGGTGAAAATTAATTCTTCTTCTCTGTGTATTTAAAAGAACAAAGGATCAAAGCAAGACCTGTCTTGAAAAGGAGGTGTCACTGCTTTTATTTTATATAATAATGTAATGAAACAGATATTTCTAGAATATAGTCTTCACTATACTCAGTAATGAATCAGATGTGCTGAAGTACTCAAATGAAAAAATAAGATATGCACATTTTCAGGCTACTTAGGACAGACAATACATAGAAAACACTAATTATTCAATACAGGGTTTTTTTCCTGTACACTAAGACATTAAGTTTCAGAATGGTAAAGACATTAAGAAAAATAGAGATCAGCTACCAAAACATTTCTGTTTTAAAATAAAAATAGACTTCTGTTTTGTTACCTACACTAAATGCTAGTCATTTCAGTGTATAGCCAGACACGGTGTTACATCTGATAAAAAACTCCAAAGAAATAAACAAAACAAACCAGTGCAACCTGACCTAGCTGGTGCTTCCTACCCCACAAAGTATGATTTTTCCAGTAAAAAAGTGAGTACTATTGAGAACATCCAGCATGGTAATATGTAGCTATTTCACTTCTCTAGTGACATCTCTGCACATTAGCACAGTATTTCTGCGTAACACATAAAAACTAAAATTATTTTTTCGATACTAAGCTGATAGGAAATTCAGTCTTCAGAAAGCTCTGAAAAAAACTAAGTTCATCTTTCTAAACTTAAGACTGCCTTATAAATTAAGCTACCAGTTCTACCTCTATTTTTATTTAATTCTTTTTGAAGATAAGCTATTGCCAAGTTAACTCCCCTGATGACCTCCTCGCATCTCAACAAAAAGACAAAAAAACCCAAACAACATGAACATACATTTCTGGTGATCTGATAGTCTTAGAAATTTTCCAAGTGTGGTGATTAGCTGTGACGGGAATTTAAGGCTATAACAAGATTCCATTTCCCAATTAACTGTGGAAAGCCTTTTAGAAAGACTCACAGATCATATTAATTTGAAAGATTTACAGTAAGATTTTGCTGTGATCGTTTCAATGAAACAAACAAAGCACCACGCACTCTCGCCTTTAGAGATCCCTGAAGAAGTGACAAAGTCTCACAGAAAATAAAATTAACACTATTAAAAGAACTAAAGACTCTCAAACCCAAATCGCTTACTCAAGATACAGGACAGAAATGAGGTATTTTCAACAGGAAAAAACCTCTGAAGAGACTCTCGAAAGTTAGATTTTTGCGATACTTATTAGGACAATCCTAACACAGATAGAAGACCTGACTTAATTAATACACGTGCGTACAAGCATGTATTTAGGCTACTAGCATACCCACTATGACTGCAAAGAGGCTTAACTCTGCGGAAAAAAAAAAAAAAAAAAAAAAAAAAAAAAAAAAAAAAAA